CTGTTATTTACTACCTTGCCATAGGCCCATGCAACAACCAAGCATCCGCTGAAAATACCAAAACTGTGATTCAGAATAAACCTTTTTTCTTCTTCAGTTGAATGTTTAAGGTATTTTGTTATAGTGGTAGAAATGGCTAAGAATAAGGTTGACTGTTACTGTTATTATTAGTAGTAAACAGCAAGGACACAGAGAAATCAAAACTGGAAAAGGTATAGTCACTACGGAAAATAAAAAAGTGACTTCCTAAAAAGTTACACATGGAATGTGTAACAATTCTACTCACATGTATATACCCAAAAGCAGCAGTTTGAACAGATAGCTGTAGTTCAATGTTCTGAGCACCATTTATTACAATAGCCAAAAGGTAGATACAAGCCATCAATGGATGAATAGACAACAAAATTTGATCTATATATACATTGGAATATTATTCGGCTTTAATAAAGAAAGACATTCTGACACACCCTGCAATATGGATTAACTTTGATACTATGTGGAGTAAAAGAAACCAATCACAAAGACTCAAATACAAAGGTATGGTGGTGCATGCCTATAATCCCAACTACATTCAAGGTGGAAGTTGGAGGATTATAGTCTAAAACTGGACCAGAGAATTGAGAGACTGGTCAGAAAAACAAACTAAAGCAAAAATGGCTGGGGGTGTGGCTAATAGTAGTCTGCCTAAGAAGAAGGACTCCATGAGTTCAAACCCTACTACTGCCAACAACATTTTCTAAAAGATAAATATTGTATAATTCTACTTATAGGAGTTACCTAGAGTCAGCAGAGGTGGTTTCCAGGGGCTGGGGGAAGGAAAGGAAGCCATTGATTAGTGAGTATGGGGTCTTAGTTTGGGTGATGAAGCAGCTCAGGATAGGTGGATAGATGGGTGATGGATGGATAGATGATGGATGGTGGGGGTGGTGCCCAACTACCTGAATGTACCAAGCATTACTATAGAATGGTTAGCCTAAAATGGTAATAGCCTAAAACCATGTATGCTTTGTCATGTTTTTTTTTTTTTTTTTTGTCAGTCATGGAGCTTGAACTCTGGGCCTGGGTGCTGTCCCTCAGCTCTTCAGCTCAAGGCACCAGCTCTACCACTTGAGCCACAGCGCCACTTCCAGCTTTTTCTGCTTATGTGGTGCTGAGGGATCGAACCCAAGGCCTCATGTATGCGAGGCAAGCGCTCTACCACTGGGCCGCTGAGCCAGCCCTTGCCATGCTTTTTATTTGTTTGTTTTGTTTTTTAACTATATTATTTTGTCATTTCTTTTTTGGTACTGGGGATCGAACCCAGGACGCTGCACTTGCTAGGCAAGCGCTTTGCGAACATGGAGCTACATCCCAGCCCTTGCCATGCTTCTTTAAAATTCATTTTTAAATGTGTGTGGTTATTTGGGCGGCAGCATCAAAATCACTTCCTCCTAGGATATTCTAGTTTACTAATTTGCTTGAAGTAGCTGCTTCTTCATTTTGCTGAGTGGCATACAGGAAGCAGCAGCCTGGCATGGATGGAGGAGGAGGGAGAGCTGACTTGAAGCCAAACACTGGCTGTGACCCTGCCCGCCCCCCCGCCCCCCATGATCCCAGCAGATAACCCAGAATGCTAAGCAATTTCAGCCACTGTCAACTGTGTCACCCAAGGAGAGGCAGAAGCCCAGCCATCAGCCTCACTGCTCTGGTGGCCCGGCACTGGGAGCCACGGGAAGGGGCACACGTGACTGGCAGCCAGCCCTAGCTGCTGGGTGGATGGGAATGTGACCACATGGGTGGGATGAAGGCACAGAGGCTGCATCTGCAGGGAATAGCCCAGCCCATATTATGAACGGGAAAAACAATTTCCTTAGCACATTTTCTAAATGAACAAAAATCTGGCTGAATACCACTCTGTGTGTGTGAGAGAGAGACAGACAGACAGACAGGACCATGAGGAAGCTGAGCCAGGACCACTCAGGTTTGCTAGAATCTAAGATGTTCTACTGTGTGTGTAGAACCTAGTACCAGGGCTTGAACTCAGGACCTTGTGCTTGCTCCGCTGGCACTCTACCCCTTGAGTCATGCCTCTAGCCCAGCTTTTTGCTGGTTAATTGGAGATAGAACCTTGCATACATTTTGCTCGTGCTGGCTTCAAACTGTGATCTTCCAGGTCTCAGCCTCCTGAGTAGCTAGGGGTACAGGTATGAGCCACTAGTGCTCAGTGCCTGGGTTAAGATGCCCTATTACTAATTTTAAAAGTGACAACAAAAAAAAAAAAAGAAACATGGAGGCATGGAAATATATAATTGAGGAACAACTGTTTACATAAAAAATTACTACACATTATAAATCCATTCTCTCCAACTATAGACTTCTAAGCCACATTGAAAGATGACAGCATTTATAGTCCTGGCAGAAAATTAATGACAGGAAAAAAAACTTAAAAAGAAGGCTAAGGGGTATTGCTAATTGAAGATTGACCATAAAAATATGTATGAAATTATCTTGTAAACTAGCACTGATGCTGGATATTGTACCATCCATTTACCTGCTGTCCCCACGCAAACTCCAGGCTTCCCTGGGCTCCCAGAGGGTATGTGTGGAGGGGAGGCAAGTTTTGGCTTATGTCAACCTTGGGAACCTGGCTTTGTTCTATTTTGTGTGTTTGTGTGTGCTGATATTGGGGTCTTAACTCAGGGCATCTCACTCTTGCTTGGCTATTTTGCTCAAGATTAGAGCTCTACCATTTGAGCCACACCTCCATTCTAGCTTTTTGCTGGTTAACTGGAGATGAGTCTCAAGGGCTTTTCTGCTCAGGCTGGCTTTGAACCAGGATCCTCAGATCTCAGCCTCTTGAGTAGCTAGGATTACAAGTGTGAGAGCTACCCATGCCCAGGAGGTTTGTTTTTATACTGATTTAGGGGCAGACATGATACTTAAAGGGAGGAAGATAAAGAAAGGAAACTAAAAGTGAGTAAAGGCATATTTCTGTTTTCCTAGTGGCATTCAACATCCAATACCCATCATCTATGTCCCAGGGGTCACCTCACTAGATGTCATGTATGTGTGTGTAGGTTGGTACTAGAGTTTGAACTCAGGGCCAAGGTTATCTCCTTAGCTTATTCTCTCAAAGCTAGTGTTCTACCACTTGAGCCCTTCCAGCTTTTTTTTGGTGGTTAATTGGAAATAAAAAACCCCATAGACCTGTCTGTCCCGACTGGCTTTGAACCACAGATCCTTGGATCTCAACCTTCAGCAGTTTGGATTATAAGAGTGTGCTGTAAGTGCCCAGCTAGATCTTTTCCTCTTGCTGATTTGGGATGAGTGGTGCTCTGGTCAAACAAAGCCTTCCCGGAAAGCAAGGGCCATGTTTTCCCATGGTCTAAGATTCTAGCACCAACACTAAGTGAGCAGTGACAATGAATCAAGAATTATTCTAGGCATTTCTAACCCCTCTTAAACCTCTCAATGGCTTGGAGACTGTTCTAGTATTTGGTGCAATTAGCAACTTAACTAACTTGCTGGTTGGGGCCCTCCATGGACATTGGGGCAGTTGTGAGGAAGGAGGCGCTCAGAGGACTGACATCTAACTGGAGGCTCCCTGAGGGCAGGGGTCCTGATGGTCTGGAGCTCCCTAAGGCCAGCTCCATGGTTAACGCAGCATAAAAGGAAACTGAGCTGTGAGGCCTTGTGAACCCCTACCCAGCTGTGAGCCCTTAGAGGACAGGGACCAGGCACCTCCTCAGAGGTGCTCCCTGGGGCAGAGGCTGAGTGGAGCAGGCCCTCCCACACCTTGCTCTCCTTCCTGCCTAGCACAGGCCCCTGACCCAGCAGCTGCTCAGGGATTGTGTGCTGGATGGCTTCTCTCTGGTCCCAGCTCTAGACTCGCGGATCTGAGCCTGAGGTTGGGCTGCCCCTGGGATTTATCAGGCAATAAACAACCCATTCATGCGTCAGTTGTTTTGCTCTGGAACAGCCTCATCAGCTGGACAGCCCAGCACACGGCCATATCCTGCCAAGCCTACACTCAGAGCTGGGGCTGCAGGCAGGGAGCAGATGATGGCCTAGAGCTCACTTGCAGTCTTCTCCAAGAAGCTACTTTCCATGCCTTCAAGGCCTGAGATTTTTCCTGGGGAAGTTGGCCACACCCCTGAAGGGTAGAGAAGGGTACTGCTGCTTCTTGTGTGGGCCCTTTGGGTGGGTGGGTGGGGTCCAATAAACCAAGAGGAGGAATGGAGTAGGAGTTGACTAAGAGATTCCTCAGAAAAACTTCTAGAAGCAATGCAGCTCAGCCAGACCTATTAAACCCCCAGCAGTTGGTGCTTCCTCTTTTTTTCTTACTTCCTAGATGGCTGTCTCAGCCCTGGTTGTCTCCAACACTGTCCACTACAGCAGGAGAGGGTCCCTGAAGGGCAAAGAGCAGAAAAGGAAGGTACAACAGATTGGGGCAGGGATTCAGACATAGCAATGTGGGAAGCAGGTATCCAGGGCAGGCACCCAAGGAGTAGAGACCAGGGGACAAGGTCAGGTACCAGACCCCTGGGGACCGGAGGATACCCCCTCACTTCCTGTTTGATTTGGGCTTTCACAATGCCCTTCCTAGCAGAAAACTTTTTTTTTTTTTTGCAAGTGGGAAAGCAGACTAAGTTGGTTCCCCTCAGCACCAAGTTTGCTGAAGAGCTGGGATTAAAAAATATCACTTTCCAGGGTTCTTTGGGCCACTTTAGGGAGGGAGGAAAGGCCAGGAAGAAGGGTGGGCACACTAGAGAATGACAGCCACAGCAGCCAATGAGAGGGGGAGGCACCTTGATGGACTAACCAGCTCTTCACCCCTAGGCCCCCACCCACCACATCCAGGTCTAGAGCAAAGCACATCTGACAGCAAAAGCAGTCCACAGCCCACACACAGATCCCTTTATCATGGCACATCAAGTCCATTTTTAAGGCATTGGGTCCCACAGCTTTGCACCATCCTCTCCAGCCTCCTGCCCCAGGTGTCTAGGGCTCCCAGTGCTTACCCAGTCGTGATGTCATCGTCCTCCGTCATGGTCTTGCCCATGAGGTCACTGTCGCTCATGTAGCCAGACTTGAGGTCCACCTCATCGGAGTCCAGGGACTCGACCAGCTCCAGGCGGGAGATGTGGCTGAGCTTGCTGGGGCTGCGCATGGGCATGGTGTGCGAGTAGTGGGCACGCTCCCCATGCATGTACCAGGCGGGCGGGCCCTCGGAGCGGCAGCTCCCGCCCACCGAGGGTGCATCGCCAGCCTGCAGCCGCGGGCTGGACTGACCATAGCGCCAAGAGAGAGGAGAGGAGCGGTTGGAGAGGCTGGACACACTGCGAGGATTGGCATCATCGCTGTCATAACAGGTCATCTCCAGGGAGCTGGGCAGAAAGCGAAGGGCACTGCTTCAGTTCTGGGCACAGCCCCGCAGTACCCTGCCCTCCCACCTCCACAATGCCTCTGGCTGCATGCGCCATTGCAGGGCATCTCAGGTTGACAAGGAACAAAGATTTTGAGTGGCTAAGGAAGCAACCAGATATACTCTGGAGGATTGCTCTACAGAGCTCTGCTGTGTCATCTGACCTGAATCCGGTTTTGCTTTTTCTTTTTGCTGGTCCTGGGGCTTGAATTCAGGGCCTGGGGGCTATCTTGAGTCTCTTTGTGCTCAAGGTTAGTGCTCTAGCACTTGAGCTACAGTTCCACTTCCAGTTTTCTGATGGTTAATTGCAGATAAGAGTCTGACAGACTTTTCTCCCCAGACTGGCTTTGAACCTCAATCCTCAGATCTCAGCCTCCTGGGTAGCTAGGATTACAGGTGTGAACCATTGGCTTCCTGGCTGTTGTTTTGCCATCTCTTAGTAAGTAGGTAACCTCACTCAGCCTCAGTTTCCTCATCTGTGAGATGGAGAGAAGAGCCTCACAGTTGGAGGATTGCAGAGGTACAGATCTGATAGTGCCTGGTACCTGGGAGGCCCTCATCACTGCGCAGGGACTAATGAGACTCTAGGGGGCAAGGGCCTGAATCCATCAGGGTGTGGGTCTAACTACTTTTCCTTCTGTGATTGTTTATTTTGTTTTTGTTTTAAAGTCAGGGTCTCATCACATTGCTCAGGCTGGCTTTGAATTCCTGATCTTCCTTTTTTCTACCTCCCAAATGCTGGGATCACAGGTGGATCCACTATACCCTCTGATCATTTCTTTTCAATTGGTGATCTGAGGCCTAGCTGACTGCCAGGCACCAGCTCTGCTCTAGAAAAGCCTGCAGTAGTGTGTAGAACATGTAAGATGAGCTTCAGGAACCTGAGATGGGCAACAGGTACCCAGGAAGACTGGTCCCAGGCACAGGCTAGAACAGCAGGGGAAGAAGCAAAGCCTGCCCAGGGACACAAGCAACCTTCCCTAGACAGAGCAGGGGACACAAAGACACAGACAGGCACGTAGCAGGATGCCTAGGGTCCCAAACCTTAAGTCTCTGCTAGGCTAGGCTAGAGAAAACATGCTCAGGTTAGTGCCAGAGGGCCTGGGGCTAGAGGGGGGAGGTTGAGGGGGCTGGGGGACAAGGTGTCTGCCTAGAGGAACTAGGGCTGAGATCTGGTTGGAGAGGCAACCTGGGCTGACACCGATAATTCTACTCAGCCCAGGTAACCTTAGGAGGGTCTCATCCCTGGGCCTAACTAAGGCCACACAGGGTTGAATAAATAAAATGGGGGGGGTATAGGCCACACAAGGTGGGGCAGAGATGACTGTGGCTAGACATAGGCAAAGGAGTCCTTGAAGCATGAACACCTGCCTCTCGGCCTTACGTAGCCACTCTCAGGGTTGGGCTGGGAGGCAGACACTGATTCTTCTATGCTGCTTTTATAAAATTGCTCAAAGAAATAAAAGAAAATTGTCTATTGGATCTGGGAAAATGAGTTTTATTTTCTCTGCTGCAAACTCTAGGGAGCCAGTAGCCCGGAAATCTAGCATGATGGAGTATGATGGGTCGCTCCAGCCATCGGGTGCGCAAGCTGAGGGCACCCTGGCTGGACAGGGCAGAGTGACTGCTGTGTCTGACCTGTCCACACCCTGCTTCTCCTCCCCCCGCTCCTAGGCCCAGGCAGCCCCTCTGTTCTGTAGTCACATGCTGTCCTGTTTCTGCTTGCAGTACTGTGAATCGAGACACCTCATCTCAAGGAAATGGAGATGAGTTCCAGAGTTCCCTGGAGGCAGAGACCATGGTCATGGTGTGACTCACTCGGCCTCACCACCAGTGTGTTTCAGCGCTTCACGGGGGTCTGGGGGAAGGGGGGGGTAGCTGGGGGACCAAAAAAATAGGGACAAGGGGCAGACCAAGGACGTGCTGAACAAAAGAACAGAGATGTTCTCACCACAAGATACAGTACAGGGCCTGGTGCAGAAAGCACTTAATAAATACAAGCTGACCATGACCAAGAGAGGGGAAGGAGGGGACAAAGGAGAGAGGAAGGGGGAAGATATGGGGAGAGAAAACAGGAGGGGGGAGGAGGAGGGAACTGAGGAGGGAGGAGGTTGAAGGGAAGGCTGAGGAAGAGGGAAAGGGAGAAGGAGAGGGGGAAGAGGGGAAGGAAGGGGAAAGAGGAACTCTGGGAGGAGCAGGTTTGGGTGGTTGCCGATACTATGGTAAATGAGGGTAGCACTGACGTCTGGATTCTCTGTTCTATTCCTGGCATGTCCCACTTAGCTCTCAGCACTGACAATACGTCCTTCCCTGTTTGGAAGCTTTACTTAATATCCCCAACACCTCTCTAGACCCGAGTCTGCAGGGGTGGATTCTTGCTCAGATCCTCCATTCCTTACTTCCAGCCCCATACAGAGCCCCAGGCCTGGCAATCTGGGGAGGGCCAGCATTTCACTTCCTCTCCAGACTCTCTCCTGGCTGGTGGTAGGGGTGTGTGTGTGTGTATGTTGGGGGGGGGGAGTGAGCCTGTAGAAACAGAGCAAGAGCCGAGAAGTAAAGTCTCCTAAGAAGGAGGTGAATGGCAGGGGAGGACACGATGGCTAGAAGCCCCCACTGGCCAGAAAGCCCCTGGGGTCATCCTGTCTACCCCAGGTGAGGGACGGCTGATGGATGGAAAGCACTTTAGAGAATCAAAGAGCCATGAAAGTCAGGGCATTCATGTTTGGGCGACCCAAGTGTGGACAGGGGATAATATAAACCAAAGGCCAGGAGAGGAAGTGGCTGGAAGTCCACAGTAAACAGAAAGCCCAGCCTCTGGGCTCCAGCCTTCTCCCATAAAGGGAGACAGAAGCCAGAAGTCCCTAGGCTCCCCTCACCCCCACAGGGCGGTCAGCATGAAGCTGACCAGAGGCTTTAGACATCCCCTCCCCAGCCAAGTGAAAGCTGTCTTGCTGGGGGCTGAGTGTCTCTGCCTCTGCCCAGCCCCTGCCGTGAGTCATTTGGGGTGTGCACAAGTCAGCCACTAAGCACTTTGTTTTTTGGCTTCTTTGGCATGATCGTGGTAGATGACTTGGCCCTAAGAGATGTTCTAGCAACTTCTCTGCCTGGGAAAAGGAACATGACCATGATTTCAACATTAGGTGGCTAAACCAAAGGGCTGGGCTGGGTCACCCCCTCCTCCTCCCCCCCCCCCCCCCCCCCCCCCCCCCGCCGTGCCCGCCCATATACTTGAGTTCCTGCTAAGGACTGAGGGATAGATGCAAGAGACAGATAGAGTCCCAGGAACCCCATTGTTTCCCTCCACCTACCAGGCCCCCTGATCACCTACCTGCCTTTACATGGTCAGGGTCCTGCTGATCTAACCAGAGCTAATCCCAGAGAGAATATGCTTTGATTATCTTATCTCTTAATATTCTAAGCCAGGTGCTCGTGGCTCAGGCCTGTAACCCTAGCTACTCAGGAGGCTGAGATCTGGGGATCATGGCTCAAAGCCAGCTCAGGCAGGAAAAGTTCTTGAGATTCTTATCTCCAACGAACCATCAAAAGGCCAGAGAGAGGCAGAGCTGTGGCTCAAGTGGTAGAGTGCCAGCCTTGAGCAAAAATGCTAGTAGACAGTGCCAAGGCCCTGAGTTCAAACCCAGTACCAACACAAAAACAAAACAATAAAAAATATTCTAGTTGTCTGGAATAAAGGCCTGGGTGTCCAAGGTGGGGACACAGAGAGGGAATGGGGGATGTGAAAGGAAGGAGAAGGTTAGTCTTGGGTAATAGGCCAGGGCTGGGTGGGGAGGGAAGGGGGGGACACTAAAGAAGAAAGTTAGTTCCACGTGATGGTCATGGTCAACACAGGCGGACTGGGATGCTGGAGAGGCAGTGAGTTCTGTGGCACGGGGGTCTGCAGGTGTGGCTGGATGCACGGGGGTCCGCAGGTGTGGCTGGATGCGAGTCTGGCCACATACCAGACTAAGAAAAGCCCTTTCCCACTGGCTCCATGCCCCAACTTTGCCATCAGTTTTCCAACCTCGGAGATGGAGATGGGAGGAACCCTCTGCAGAGGCTCGGGTTCCTGGCACTGCCTCCCTGTCCACCCCCCATGACCTCACCGTGCTGGCTGCCTGCTCTCCCCGCTTCTGCCCCCAGAGCTCAGCCCAGCCCTCTGCCCTCCTTGGAGCTCACACCATGAGCTCATCTGGGCAGCTCAGAGGAGCCTGAGGGGGGAAGTCTGAGTCACTGGGAGGCCAAGGCCAGGATACTGCTCCAAGGAGAGGTGCTGTGGGAGGGGCATGTGCCCCACGCAGGTGGTCTAGGATGGCTCTGCAAGGCCCGGGAAGGGGGACCACCCACAGGGCATGACAGCTGGAGGGACATCTTGTGGGTCTTGCTCAGGGCTGCCTTCTTGGGTGGCAGAAGAGGCCCCTAACTGACCGGGATGAAGACGTGCTAGGGTGGATTCTTGCCTAGGGTGCAGGGAAGGCTGAGTCCTAATCCTAACAGCCCAGATCATGGGGAGCAGGGAAGAGGGGGTGCTGTAATACAGAGCCGGACTTATCAGAGGCCAACAGTTTTCCATCTCTACCTAACAATTTTCAAAGTCATCTGCATAAGTGAAATCCAATGCTCAAAACCAAGGCCAGCTGCTTTGGCCATAGCTCAACAGCTCAACCACTCAACCGGCTTGCCAGGTGGAGATGTGGTGAGACCCTGAGGCTCCACCCTCCAGATCAGAGAGAGGGCATGGAGGTTGGAGAACAAGATCCTGAGCTTACCTGTGAGCCACCTGGGAGCCTCGCAGGCTGGACATGGTCTCTTCCAGGTTCTGTCGAAGATCCAGGACATTCTGCACTGTCCTCTTCCTCTGGGATTCTGGATCTGGTAAGGAGAATAGGAAGACTGGGTGACTAGAGAGGACTTCCTGTGGAAAGCAGGGGGACAGGGGAGGGAACAGTGACTGGGTAACCAAAGGGTGTCCAAGGGCTCAGTCCCTAGAGCATCCAGTCACCTTCCTCTTCTCTTTCTCTGAGAGCAGATCTTTCCAAAAACCTTGGACATGCACCCTGGGGTCCTCTGAAATCTCGACTCTGGCCATGGCTGCTGGTGTGCCCTCTGCATCTGTACGCCCCTCTCAGACCTCTCGAGAGACCGGCTCTACCTCCGGCTTTGTGTGTGAGAGGCCCTGCTTGTAGAACAGAGTTTGTGGGTAAGGTCACCTGGAATATCTTCCTGACACAATCTCCCACAGCAGACTGGTCCCAGATTAAAGTTGGCTCTTGGAGGAGCGGGACCATAGGGATGGGCAAGATGTGCCTATGGTAAGTATTCCTCCCACAGCTGCCAAGGTACCAACATGCCATGGACCACAGACTTAGGAAGTGTTGGGAACATCTGCAGCTGGTCTGTGGGGTCCAGGGAAGATAGTTCCAGCAGAGCTCCCCAAAAGGGAGGAGGCTGGTGGGGAGTGAGGTGAGCAGGGGCTGAGCTCTGGCCGTTTCAGGCCTGGGTGAGGAGGAGGCATAAGGCGTGGCCTCAGAATCTTAAGCGATCAGGGCGCCATTTTGCTCAAGCTTGGTTTCCAGGCAACCTTGGTCTCTCATCTGGATAGGTGAGATTCCATAACAGCATATGGAAGTTTATTCCTTCCGTCCAGGGTGTGAGTAACATCCAAATGGCTTCCTTCTCCTCCCTTCTATCAATCCATCCAACAAGCTTTTATCCAACACATAGTTGGTGCCAGGCACACACTGGCCACTTATATTGAAGAGGTCCCTGCCCTGAGCTCTACATCTAGCTTTTTGGTGGTTAACTGCAGATAAAAGTCTCATAGACTTTTCTGTCTGTTGTGACTTCTAACCACAATCCTTAGATCTCAAACTCCTAAGCAGCTCGGAATATGGTTTCAAGCTACCAGTGCCCAGCCTAAAGGCTCATCTTTAATTTGGGGATGAGAGTCAGTGAATGGGCCTGCCTCCTCGTCCCCCAGCATCTTCCTAAAGACAATTTTCAGTAGAGTCAGGGACTGACAGACAGAACAGGTGACAGAACGGAGGAGTCCCCAAACTCCCCTTCTGCACAGTGAGCAGGCTTTCTCTGTGCACAAGCCAACCTGCCCCCTCCCCTTCCCCGTGCCTCGATCCACAGACCCAGTGGGACAGGATAGGGAGCTCCTTCTGGCTTTCAAAGAGAATCTTTCTCAATCCCCTAAGAAGAACTGTTATTCTCAATCTGGAGCCGAGGCTGGCTGGCAGGAAGCGTCAGCACTATCTTTTGGACCCTGGGGGTGTTGGTGGGGTGGGCAGGGGGCCATGCTAGGGGCCTTGTGGGAGCCTTTGGGGTACGCTCTGTGAGTAGCAGCACCACACCTGGCCCAGCAACCATGTCTTCTCTCCCCAGCCTCCAGAAACGCTCACGGTCAGCGCAGTGCATACAGCCCTGCACACTGGTGGCCGGGAACAAGGACAAACGGCAGGCCTCTGCCATGGTCTGTCCTCTATCCACAGCCTGGCGTCACTGCTTTGGTTGCCAATGCCTATTTATCCTGGCAAGTGTCACCTTGAGTGCTGCTCTGTGGCTTCCACCGATGGCTTGGCACAGAACACAGACAGGGTCAGAAAGTGTAGACATATATATTTTAAGGTTTAATTCGAAAATGCTTCTATGGGACCAAGAGCATTATGCCAAGACACGGGTTTCTGGGCTAGAGTGATGCCTTCTATGGGGTGTTTCTAATGGGGAAAGTGACCAATGGCTACCCAGAGACTTCTGCTTTGTGCCCAGTCCTTTGCACACGTCATCTAGCTGAGTCCTGACTACATTACTGGAGGATTTGTGCTACTGTCCCATTTTACAGAGTGAGAAAAAGAAGTCCAGAGAGATCAAGGAACTTGTCTGAGGTCACACAGTTAGCATGTAGCAAAAACCACTATGTCTAGGTAGAAGCTTATATTTCCTTTGATATATCATAAAGCATCCTGCACCCCACAGCAAGCTCAGTGACCATACGTGGTAAGTGCAGTAAACATGTCAGGATGGGGTTACCACCTTTTTGGTCTGCTAGGACCAGGATTTGAACTCAGGGTCTTGTTCTTGCTTGGCTTACTTCTTCATTTGATTGGCATCCTACTACTTGAACTATGCCTCCGGTCTAAACAACTGTTTTGGGGGGCCTGGCTGGCTTTAAACATATTCTTTGATCTCAACTTCCTGAGTAGCTAGGATTATAGGCGTGAGCCACTGGCACCTGGCTTACTATGTGTGTGTCTGTTTGTCCTGGGGCTGGAACTCAGGACTTGGATACTGTATCTGAGCATTTGTGCTACCATGTGAGCCACAGTTCCACTTCTGGATTTTGGGGGTAGTTAATTGGAGGAGAGAGTTGCAATCCTCAGCCTCAGCCTTCTGAGTAGCTAGGATTACAGGCATGAGCCATCAGTACCCCGTTCTTCCAACCATTTAAAAATGTTCAAAATAAATATTTAAAAAGCAAGTGGAGCTGGGCGCTGGTGGCTTACACCTGTAATCCTATAGGCTGAGATCTGAGGCTCTCAGTTCAAAGCCAACAGGGGCTGGAAAGTCCGTGAGACTCTTATCTCCAATTAATCACAGAAAAATCTGGAAGTGGTGCTGAGGCTTAGGTGATAGAGTGCTATGCTAGCCTTGAGCAAAAGAAGCCTAGGGTCAATGCCCAGGCCCAGAGTTCAAGCCCCAAGACCAGCAAAAAAAAAAAAAAGTGAATGGAGGCCAAATATGCTGGCTCATCCCCATAATCCTAGACATGTGGGAGGTAAAAATTTGGGAGGATTACACTCTGAGGCCAGTGGGGCAAACCAGTTAGCAGCACCTCACCTCAACCAACAAGCTGGTTTGCAAAGTAGTTTCCATCCTTTTTTTTCCCCCGTGGATATTTGAGAGGCCACAGGAGGTAGAATCAGGGGTCAACATAGCTCCAGGAATTTAAAGTGAACAGGGCTGAAGGCATAGCACAGGTAGGAGCGGACTTGTCTGAGGTCCAGCAAATGCCGAGTCCCTGAGTTCAAACTCCAGTACCATCCAAACAAAACCCCCAGAGTGGGTGGATTCCGTGATCTTAGGTAGACGTCATGTTTTTTAAAAAAGGGGAAAATGTTTAATTCATACAGTGCTCAGCTGCCAAAGCATCATCGTCTTCCTTAACTCTCTAGGCCTTGGGCACAGAGAGAGTGGATGGCAGGAACACTCTCATGGCCAGAGGACCCAGCCATCCCACTGTCCCTGCCAGTCTCCCAGCCCTCTCCCCCATGCCTCAGCCTCAAAGGCTCTACCCTCCACCCTATTTAATTCCTGGTCAGCAGAATGGGACAAGACTTGCTAAAGACTCCTCCAGAGCTGGGTGCTGGTGGCTCATACCTATCATCCTAGCTAGTCAGGAGGCTGAGATCTGAGGACTGCGGTTCAAAGCCAGTCCAGGCAGGAAAAGTCCATGAACCTCTTATCTCTAGTTAACCACCTACAAACCAGGAGTAGAGCTATGGTTCAAAGTGATAGAGCCCTAGCCTTAAGTAAAAAAGCTCAGGGACAGCTGCCCAGGCCCTGCCCCACGACTGACAAAATACATAAATTAATAAAAATAAACAAAAGACTCCTTCATCTTCCAGACTTGCTCCAACTCCAAGGTATGAGTGTCCTTGGAAGTGGCTCAGCCCAGAACTCAAGTCACGGCCCTCCCCCTTGTCCTGAGGGTGAGGGGGGCTCTTTGCTCACCAGTGTGCCCCCTGGTGGTCACCCTGTGTACGCAGCCCTCCCACAAGGCACAGCTCAGGGAGTCCAGACTGAGTAAAGTGCTGAGAAACACAACTGTCCTCCACTCTCCTGGGGGATGGAGGGGGGGATTGTGGGGCGTATCTGCAGCCCCAGGACACAGGCTATACATGCGCATCAAAACGACTCTGGGACCCAAGAGGCTGAAGATACTTGGCCAAACATGGGAGGAGAATTTGACCTTGGCATTTCTGAGCCCCAAAGCAAATATTGCCATTTTTAACTTAAAACTCCAAGTAAGTTGCAGGGCATGGTTGGATCACACCTGATGGTTCACCAGCAGCTTAGCACGGTGTCTGGCTGGTGCTCTTCTCTGCCGGATGGCACAGAGGGTGGGTGAGCAATGGGCACACACCCCAGGTTTGGAGCCGGCCCCCTGTGTTTCTCATTCTCTTCGCCAGAGTAGGGGCCTGGCTCTGTCTTCCTTGACACCTGGAATTCCTGGCAGAATCCTGCACCCTCAGGCCTGATTACTCTCAGCTGTGGGCCTCAGGGACCTCTGGGGTCAGAGGTCTGCAGTCTCGTGGCACAGTGGACCAGGACCCTCCAGTGAGGGTTTCAAGGGAGTTCAGGAACACCGAGGACTCAGGGGACCCACAATACAGCAGTCAGATTTCCCCACGTTCTACGTTTTAATTATTAACTAGCGATTAAGTAAACTGCAATCACTGCCTAGTGAAGCCTTAATTACTTCCACCAGTGTTCCAGAGCCACTAGCGATCACAGTTTAGCCCAGGGCAGGGGCCACCAAGGACTAGATTTGCCCCTGATTTCTAGAGGGGGGCTGTGGCCGTGAGGGGCTGCGCTAGGTGAGAACCAACAGGGAGAGCGGAGGTGAGCCAAGAGCATCCCCACGCGGGGAGCCCCCGTAACCTCTCCTTCTTCACAGATGGGAGACAACCTACCCCTCAGGACCAGAGGAGGGGACACAGGTGGTGAGCGACAGGGCAGGTATGATGCCATCATAAAGGTAGTGTGCTCTCCTGTCCCTCTCCCCCCACCTTCAACAATTCCCAAGAGGAAACAAACATTTCCTCGCCTCCACAGGACAAGGTCTAGGCCTTACCTAAGTTCTAAAA